AGATTAACTTCCTCGTCCTCCAGCAAAATGATGTCGTCAGCGAACGCCATAGCGCTGACCTTCACTCCAGGAAGGATCGTGCCTCCCCTGTTCCCGTCGTTAAGCCGGCTCAGCAGCTCATCAATTACCATGTTGAATAGCAGTGGGCTAAGTGGATCCCCTTGCTTGACCCCGCGCCTAATCTGAATGCTCCCCGTCTGCTCGCCACCCACTTTGATGGCGGTCTCCGAGGTGGTCAAGGTCGACAATATGTATCTGATGGAGCCCTCGTCTATTCCGAATCTCCGTAACGCCCCAACAACACTCCCATGTCCAACAGTGTCGAAGGCTTTACGGACGTCGAGTGAGACGACGCAGTACCCTTTTCCGGCGCCCACCCTGTTCCTAATGTAGGCCTGAAGGACCATACAATTGGCGAGAGTGCCATCCACCGCAGTGAAGCCGCGTTGGCTGGTGCTCAGGGCGATGACTTCCCGTATGCGGTTAGCCATCGCCCTGTGCATCAGCCTCTGGAGGGCACTCCCGATAGTGAGTGGGCGCCAGTTGGCCGGGTCACACCGTTGACCATTTTTATAAATAATAGTAGTGCGCGAACGGCGGAAGCAAACAGGGTGCACATTCCGTATCAAAATAATAGAGAATAGTACGGACAGCACCCTGTTGTTGGCCCGTTTCACGGAGGACACTGTAATTCCGTCGGCGCCAGGCGCCGAGTTGCCCCAAGACGTTTTGGCATTTTCAATCTCGTCCTGCCTGAAGGGCAGGAACGTTTTCGTGTCCTCCGTCAGCGGTTTGTTATGAACGTCTGTCACCTCTCGCGCAGGCGACTCCAAGATGCCGCGATACAACCGTTCGACCTCGTCAATAGGGGGAGTAACTTCCTTCTCGTCTAGCGGAGTTCCAGAAATAATTTTCTCCGCTAGAGAGCTACGGTTTTTGTTGAAGAGGTCCTGGGCTTTTTTGAAACCTTCTGCCCTAGGACCCCGCCCTGTTGTTATTTGGGCGTAGTTTCTCTGAGGGGGTTTGTTCCCCTTCTTCTCCCCCTTCTTACCACCCCGCTGTTCTGGAAAGTGCTTTTTAATCCAGTCATCGATATAGGGGCCCAGCTGCACGTTGGCTAGCTCGAGACCCGCATTGCACAGCTCCACAACATGACCCAGGCCGTCAGCTGCCGCAGCCTCCCGCTCAGTGACGAGATAGCTGCGCAGCTGGTGGTTGACAGTAACCTGGGTCTTGGGCTGTGCATGGGGGGGAGTGAGGTCGTGATCGCATCGCGCCCTTCTAGGCGTCGGCTGCATGAGAGGCGACATCGACTCATTACGTTGTCGCTTCGTACCGCCGTTCTGCAAAATTGGTGTAACAACAATATGTGCTCTAGGTGTCTTACCGTCTCCGTCGTCTTCGCTGTCCTCTTTGTTGGTAATATCCTGCGGAGATTGCTCCGCAGTTGTCTCAGTGTGGACTGATTCACCCTCGATGTTAGGAGTTTCCACATGGGCACTGGCGCGCGCTGCACCAGCCGAGGGCACAGGCCGAGGGAAAGGGAGATTGTTTGTTTGGATCTCTTTGGCGGCACAGAGGTACTCCTTGTAAACGGGTTTGTTTCTTCTGTGCCGCACTTGGTCGCGAGTAAGGCCGGTATCTGAAACCATCCTGTCTATAAAGGGTTGCCCCTTTATAGTGGCAGCTTCTATTCTCGCCATTATCTGCATCAGTTCAGATTCCGGCCTTTTCAGCCTCTCCCTCTTCTCGTCATTTACTGCAGCGGCGTGTGCCCTGTGCTCATGCAGTCGCACGCCAGTAAAAGATGAAAACTCCGACCCGCAGTACTGGCATTTGGTCCGCTCTACGGTGCCACACGCGGGTCTGTGTCTTGTAAGTCCATTCTTGGTGTAGAACGCCTTCCCGCAGTCCTCACAATTGTATCTTGTCTGTTTGGCAGGCCCCAGGTTGGCCGCATCACTGGCTCCTGTTTTTGGGGATAGGTTACTTGGGCCTGCCTTACTAGTTCCAGCAGCTAGAGGGCCGCTGGCAGTCTTGTTGCCACCCGCTGGCGGACTTCTAGGTTTTCCGCCCCTACCTTCGGTAGGGCCATCGCGGGTGGCTAAACGCGGTGCCTTCGCACCACGTGTGTGGCTCTCTCCTCCTCTCGAAGTGGCGGGGTTGTTCCTCTTCTTTGCCGGGTCGGCCATTGCGCATGCGCAGGATGACCGTAACCAGCAAGATTAAGAGTATTCTCCTTTCTGCGTACGGGAGTGAAAACCGTTTGCCGCTACGTAGTCTGGTTCCGGAGATATCACGTATTAAAGATTTTATCTCCGGAACTACCTCCTCCCAGCTCCTGTTCTCCTAATACCTGGCCGCACTTAATACGGCCAGTACGGCGTTATCTGTCGACGTATGGAGCTGAGATTTGGTGTGTGTCCTTGGGGCCGGTAGATGATTTGTTGGACGCCTTTTTGGCCCCGTCGGACACGATGTACCTGCCAAAAGGGCAGTAGCGGCTAGACGCCGGAAACCGGCGTTGCGGGGGGCAGTCGAGCTGGTGTGATATTCTACTAGATGCGCGATGCCCCAAAGACAATATGGGGCCCGCTGTTCGTCGTGCGATTCTAACCTTTATTGCGAGATTTCTAGGTTAGAATCGCGTTGTTTAAAAGTATTTGCTTATAAACACCAGCCCTTGGTACTCACCCCGCTGTCTCCACTCCCACGCACTAACCCCGCCACCGCACGTGTGTTGCCCGTTTTTGTGGGCGCCGCGACGCGGTAGTGCCTCTTGAGTCGTATTTAAAATCGCGTTATGTCGCACACACGTGCACACTCCTCAGCGGCGGAGAAGAGAGTCATAGTTACTCCCGCCGTTTACCCGCGCTTGCTTGAATTTCTTCACGTTGACATTCAGAGCACTGGGCAGAAATCACATTGAGTCAACACCCGCAGGGGCCATCTCAATGCTTTGTTTTAATTAGACAGTCGGATTCCCCCGGTCCGTGCCAGTTCTGAGCTGACCGTTGAATGGCGGCCGAAGAGGACACCAGAACGCCCTTGCGAGCGCACTCTGGGCCTCGCAGCAAGACGGTTCCGCGGGAGGCCAAGGCACGGTACCGAGTTCGGATCCGCAATCCTACCGCACACGCGCGAACGCATACGACAGAACGTTTCACCTCGCCCAGGCCCGGCACGTCAGCCGCGACCCGCTTCCTCGCCAAGCCCGACACGCCCCGATCCTCAGAGCCAATCCTTATCCCGAAGTTACGGATCCAATTTGCCGACTTCCCTTACCTACATTATTCTATCGACTAGAGGCTCTTCACCTTGGAGACCTGCTGCGGATATGGGTACGAACCGGCGCGACACCTCCACGTGGCCCTCTCCCGAATTTTCAAGGTCCGAGGGGAAGACCAGGACACCGCTGCAACTGCGGTGCTCTTCGCATTCCAAACCATATCTCCCTGCTAGAGGATTCCATGGAACTCGAATGCTTATGCAGAAAAGAAAACTCTTCCCTGGTCTCCCGACGGCGTCTTCGGGTCTTTTTGGGTTACCCCGACGAACTCTCTTGCGAGGGCCCGACTATTGTACGGTTCCGCTGCCGGGTTTCGGAATAGGAACCGAATTCCCTTTCGCCCGACGGGCGTGTTCTTTATATATACACACATACATACATATATTTATAAAACAACGCCACATCAACATCGGCTTTCGCCTAGGGCTTAGGATCGACTGACTCGTGTGCAACGGCTGTTCACACGAAACCCTTCTCCACGTCAGTCCTCCAGGGCCTCGCTGGAGTATTTGCTACTACCACCAAGATCTGCACCGACGGCGGCTCCAGACGGCCTCACGGCCAGCCCTTCTGCGCGCACCGCCGCGACCCTCCTACTCGTCAGAGCTTCATGGCCGATCCGTTTTTACGCGGATCGAGACCGCACATGCCGCTGACGGCCGAGTATAAGCACGACGCTTCAGCGCCATCCATTTTCAGGGCTAGTAACTTCGGCAGGTGAGTTGTTACACACTCCTTGGCGGATTCCGACTTCCATGGCCACCGTCCTGCTGTCTTAAGTTACCAACGCCTTTCATGGTATCCCATAAGCGTCGATTTAGGCGCTTTAACTCGACGTTTGGTTCATCCCACAGCGCCAGTTCTGCTTACCAAAAATGGCCCACTTGGCACTCTGATTCGATTCTCGCAGCTTCATTAGTTCGAGCAAGCCGGAGATCTCACCCATTTAAAGTTTGAGAATAGGTTGAGGTCGTTTCGACCCCAATGCCTCTAATCATTCGCTTTACCGGATGAAACTCGTCACAGACGAGCGCCAGCTATCCTGAGGGAAACTTCGGAGGGAACCAGCTACTAGATGGTTCGATTAGTCTTTCGCCCCTATACCCAGTTCCGACGATCGATTTGCACGTCAGAATCGCTACGGACCTCCATCAGGGTTTCCCCTGACTTCGTCCTGACCAGGCATAGTTCACCATCTTTCGGGTCCCAGCGTGTACGCTCTTGGTGCGCCTCTTCTCGTAATGAGAACGAGACGCCCCGGGAGTGCGGAGCGGCCGCTTTATAGACGTGCCGCCCATCTTCCCTAAATCCGCGCTAGGCGGATCTTTACTTTCATTGCGCCTTTAGGTTTAGTTATGTCCCAATGACTCGCGCACATGCTAGACTCCTTGGTCCGTGTTTCAAGACGGGTCCTGAAATTACCCAAAGCTATAGCGTCGCAGATCGGCGTTTCAAACGAGGTCTGTCCGAGAAATCCGCACGACCAACAGTCGTCCGGGGACGGAACCGGGCGCTAGGTCCGATCGCCGTCTTAGCATCGAACGTGCTTGTCGTGGGTCGGACGCTAATTGAAGAAGTAGCGGCCTCGCGCCATCTGTATACCGTCGAGCGAGTCGGCCGGAACATCGCGGGTTCGAGCACGAATCGCCGAAACGATCGTACACGGACTCCACCGCGAGCCGTAGACCGACACCCAACGGATCGCGACGTCCTACTAGGGGAAAAGTGCACGCGTTCGACGCCGGATCGAAAAGCGAAAGGCGCGGACGACGCGCGAACGCCGTCCGTCGCGCGACCGCTCATCGCCGACGGCCGAAACGCGAATGAATTTCCCCTTTCGACCTTTCGGGTTTCTCAGGTTTACCCCTGAACGGTTTCACGTACTCTTGAACTCTCTCTTCAAAGTGCTTTTCAACTTTCCCTCACGGTACTTGTTCGCTATCGGTCTCGTGGTCATATTTAGCCTTAGATGGAGTTTACCACCCACTTAGGGCTGCACTCTCAAGCAACCCGACTCTGAGGAGAGATCCTCCCGCGATCGGCAGCGGCCACTACGGGCCTGGCACCCTCTATGGGCTGTGGCCCCGTTCAAGAAGGACTTGGACTCGCCGCGCGACCTCGGGATAAACGGATCCTCCCTAACACCACATTTCCCGGCGCCCGATATCGACCGCGGGATTCGGTGCTGGGCTTTTCCCTGTTCGCTCGCAGCTACTGAGGGAATCCTAGTTAGTTTCTTTTCCTCCGCTTAGTAATATGCTTAAATTCAGCGGGTAGTCTCACCTGCTCTGAGGTCGGTTAACAATATACAACACAACACCACACACAGATATATATGTCACACGCGATCGCTAATACTAAATCGTATAGCTGCTGCTGCTATACTACTACTAGTCGAAAGCGTTCTCTAGTGTTTAGCGCGTATATGCGATCAGACGTCGTTATCTCGAAAAAAATAATTTCTCTCTCGGACACGACGATCGCAGCGCAAGTTCGAAACGCGTAACGACTACAGCATATATACATATATATATATATATATATATATGTAGTGCTATTACGATTTTTATCCGTACAGCGCGCGTGTTCGTTCTATGTGTGAGTTTACGATTCGTTCGTATGACGAACGAATCGTCGCTTTCGCGTTTTGAGATGCCGCGACGACGACAAAGACGACGACGTTTACGATATTACATAAATAAATATATAATAACTAGCGTCGTCGCGTCGTACCGCCGCGTCTACATCCAACACGCTCCGACGTTTCATTCTCCTCTCTCATGTCGTCGTCGTCGTCGTCGTCTCTCGGATAAAGAGATAATACGACGACGCGAACAGAGATCGGAGAGGAAACCGAGCAGTCTTTTAAATTGATACGACCCTCAGCCAGGAGTGGTCCGGGAACAGTATCCGAGGACCGCAATGTGCGTTCGAAATGTCGATGTTCATGTGTCCTGCAGTTCACAAGTTGACGCGCAATTAGCTGCGTTCTTCATCGACCCACGAGCCAAGTGATTCACCGTTCAGGGTAATCGTTTTTTAATTAGACGATCTCTATATATATAAAATATATATCGATACGTCTTTATTGTTATGATAATGGCTAATGTTATTAAAGAAAATATATAAAAAAAAGAAAGCGCGCATTTCTCACGGAGACTTCGTGTATTTTGCGCGGCAAACGCGCAAAATTATTTTTGCGCGTTTATAACAAACGAGCGTGCCGACGAAGTCTCTCGTGTACGCGCGCATTCTATCCGTATCGCGCTTCTATAGCATACGCGTGTGCAAGGGGTACAAATAACACTACAACAGAGTTGTACATAACATGAATATATATGTATGTATTAAGCGTACAACACGTGTCGTCCTCTTGTACCGTCTTTTCGTATGGCGTAGAAATTTCGACTAACGGGCGAATATCTTTAAAAACAACCGGAAAAGAAGGAAATGAGTCGTGCGGACACGACGACATATCTCCGTTCTTCTCCCATATAGAGTTACCCGTCGAAAATATCGCCATCCGTACAGACGACGACGTCGTAGAGACACGTGTGTACATACGCATACGCATACAACACAATATTATGTCTATGCGATATACGCGTGTCGGAACGTACCCCGAGCGCGCGCTCGCGCGTACTAGAAGCGCTCTATACGGCGTGGTGCGTTCGAAAATTATACGTATTATATGATGGTGGGACGACGAAAAGATTTTCAATAAGATTTATAAAAAAGATACGCACTCGCGTACACGACGAGACGAGGGAAGAGGTTGTGTGTTACACACAAACAACAACACCTCGTTCGGGTAATATACACGTGTGTGCGCTCGATCTTACTATAAATGTTCCTTATTATCTTTTCGAACGTCGCTACATCATCGCCTATAATAAAAAGGCA